ATTCAATTTTGTAATAATTAGTTTAATTCGGACTCTTGGACTTTGAATCGTACTCTCTTGCATGAGGGCAATTATGTAATAAGTTGTATTTCTTCCAACCCCATGTCTTTCTCCTTTTTACTTACTTGCTTACGATGGTTAGTATAGAACATCATTTTTCAAATTAGCATTCTTATGCTTCGCATCCATTGTCTTGGATGCATCTAAGGCTCGGCTTATCATACTAATCCAATATCAATGTTTAAATTCATTACTTGAATATGTGATTTATCGCATGTCTTGAATGAAATCATATGCCATGCTCATGGCCGAGCCTATAAAAATACATAATGTGTGCGTTGCATTTAGTCATATTACATTAATCAGGAACATGCATGTTTTTCTAATACATTTGCTTTGTTTTGGCTCGGAGTACTAGGTAAGTAGTTTTTATGTTTTAGCATCTCGCATCAAATGTTTGTGTTACCATGTCAAAGCATACTTCTATGAGGCTAATTGCTTAAATGATATAACTGTTTAAATGTTTGTGGATGAAGGCTAGTTGCTTGAATTGGGATAGTTTGATTAGTGCCCATTTTAAGCCCACTTTTTCAAGTGGCAAATTCACAAAACTATTTCAAATAAAACATGAAATCAAATGTTCTAATTCTTGTAAATTAGTCTATACCTTGTGTGTATCACATAGTAAAATAGCTAATAATTAGAACAAGAGCATATAATGCAAATAAAAATCACATCATGATTAGTAGAGGCCGATCTTTGATTGGGCGAGTGTGGTGCTCAATTCAGGACCTTTCCCTCTCGTACCTAAGTTTCCGAGCCGAGACACTTTGGTAATGATGGACTAATGGCCTTTGGCACAAGTCTCGAGTTTCTTAAAATTTCTAAAAATATTTAGGTGGCGACTCTGAAATCTGGCAAAGCAGACCATTTTTGGCATTTGATTCAAACATCGATTTTCCAAAAAGAATTGCCAGATTTGGACTCTTTTTGTGTTCATCTATTTCACATTGCACTCGTGAGATCAAATTCAGAACTATGGGAGTCCGAACTGTGGGGCTATTCGTCTTCTGAAAAGAGCACAAAAAGTCAAGCTACAATTACAACAAAACTTGTAATTAACTACCAAAGGTTCAAACACTAGAAAACAAGTACGAATACTTACCATGGACTCTAGCCTTATGCTCCCAAGTCGTTTCCTTGACCCCATGGTGTCACCACAACATTTTAACCAATGGAATAGTCTTGCCTTGCAAGACTTATTCTCAAGTATCCAAGACTTGAATCGGTCTCTCCTCACACGAGGCATCCTCGTCCATCTCTAAATCAGTCCAATCTAGTACATACGAAGGATCTTGCTCATACTTCTGAAGCATAGAAATATAAGATCTCAAAAGGCCTAATGAACCTTGGAGACAACTTACCGCTCTCCCAAATCTCATCAAACCCTGTCTTTGCAAAATCTTTAGAAATTCATGATCCCCTATGTTGAATTTGGCTGTTTGGGTGTTGTGGTTGCGTTTGGAACAAGTAGGGAGTTAGTTTTTCAAAAGAGTTACTGTGTAGAATTTTGCTTGTTCGCTCGAGGGAACTTTCTTGCGCTCGAGCAGTCTTTTGGATCTTTCAATATTTTTGCAAGTCTACAAAAATACTGGGAGCATGGTGTTATTCGCTCAAGCGGTGTTTCTTGTGCTCGAGCAGTTAGCTTACGTTTGCAAAACTTCTGGGAGGGTGTCATTGTGCGCTCGAGTGGTAACTTTGTTCACCCGAGCGGTGTCACTTGTTGTCTCTATTCGCTCGAGTGGTCTGCGCGCATATCAACTAGTAAAAATCACTTTTTGGATCACTTTTTCATCTCTCTCTCTAAACATTTCAAAACCCTAGTTCTTCACTCTCTCTCTAGAACCATCTTTAAATCTCAAATACTCCATCATCGATTGATCTCTACACCCCGAGCCTTCTGGGGAAAAAGATAAAGCTCACATAGAGCTTTATTCTAGTATGAGCAAAGTTCATTTTCGATTTCGTCAAAGTTTTGTCCTTGCTCTCTTTTCTTTTAACCTTGAGGTAGGGATTTCTTCAACCTTTAGTATGGTTTTTAACTTAGTTATTTGTCTATTCAAGAAATCTTGGGATTTGGAGATTTTAAATGAAACCTATGGTTTGATTTTGAAATTTAAAAAAGGGGTTTTCAAATGAGTTCTTGAAAATGGTTGTGGAAATGTGTTTATTGTTGAGCCGCGTTAAAATGATGTATTTGATACTTGAAATTGATTTTGGGAAGAAAACGATTTTTATTCTAAAACCATGGATATTTGGTTTCGTGAAAGGAAATGAAAATGATGTTGGGTTTTATATGAATGGAACAATGGTTGTGTTGATAATGATGGTGGAGTTGGATATGTATTATCACTCTCATCTAAGAATTGATGAAATTATATCTTATATTTGGAATATTATCTGTTTTGAATAGAGATATCTGTCTTGGGCTATCGGTGGAGGATAGCTATGATTGTTATAGAAATTGTAGGGGATTAGGTGAATTGAAACTAATTTCCCATACATATTGCATTAAGCATTGTTGCATGCTTAAACATTGAAAATAGATTTAGTTTGAGAAAAAGCAGTAAATACCTTAGTAAATCTGGGTAGGGGGTGTAATTGTAGTTATTATGTTTGCCTGTGTGTTCTTAGTAAAAGTCTAAAAACCTGTGCGGTTAGGTGCCGAGCTTTCTGATTAATACCGGTAAAATGGCTTTAGTACTTGTATAGCCTACTGACATACACATACTTAGAGATTCTCAGTGATTGTATCCACTGCCCTGTTTTATGATGTTAAAAGTTATTTTCATGAATTGAATTATAATCTGGGATTGCATGGTTTTGGAAAGAAATGCAAAACGTTTTGGCACATGGCATTGCATATTCATTCACTTTATAGCTTTGTCAAGATTCATACACTGTGTTAGAGTATCTCTACTGGGCTTTGGCTCACTCTATGTGGAAAACAACTTTCAAGTGTTGATGATATGCCTCCACCAATGCCATAACTTTGGAGGACTTGGAGCCAAGAGTTTCCTTTTGTTAATCGTTGTAATTATTTTGTACAAGCCTAGGGCTTTAAATATATTGAGTTAAAACTCACTTTTGTTGTACCCAAGCATTGTCTTGGAAAGATGTAGCCACTAAGGCATTAAATTATCTACTGAACATTTATTCCATTTCGTTCGCAAGTGGCATATTGTCACGACCCAAACCCGTCCTCATAGCTTTAACGTCATGACAAGCCAGTAATCATAGATTACTTATGACCTCTTATAACATAATCATAAAATAAGGGGTTCACGAAAGTGAATATAAAAACATACAACGTCCATTGAGTTGTGCAGACTTACATGAGACGGAGAAAATTTAAACTTTAATGCCATATATTATTATATCATCACCTTACGTCATTTTATATATAGAGAAAAGCCAAAACGGGACTTAGCCCTATTTACAAAGTAACAAAAACTTGTCTAACAAACAAGGAAAATAAATTTGCATCATATTCACAAAACTTGACCACTTTACTCTTCGGGAACCTCCACGAGAGGCACATAGGTTGGCTCACTACAACAAAACTGACTTTTTACGGCACCACATCAACGGCATACAATAAATGCATGTCGTAGTTTCTCACTTTTACGACTTACTTTTTTTGCACGTTGTAAATACTTTTCCAACCATGACGTATCTATTGCGTAGGTCGTGAATGGTAATAACGATGATTTTTTTACGGCTTGCAATGCACGCCGTAAATAATAAAACTTTCTACAATGTGCATATGACATGCCGTTAATACATTAATTATACACGATGCACATACGCCAGCCGTGAATACTTTTCACGGCGCACACAACGCTCGCCATTAAAAGTATTGCACCTTTTACGACACACACATTGCCTGTCGTTAAAAGTATTGTCTTTTTATGACGCACAATGCATGTCGTGAATTGTATATTGTCCTTTTACGACATACAATGCATGTCGTGAATTGTATGATAAAAAAAAGGGGCGCGAAAATGAAATTTGGGGTGCCAATCACCAAAATATATATATATATATATATTAGAATTTTTTTCCCTAAAATAATTGTTTTGCCTTGCTCTAATGGAACATCACAAGGTTTCAATCTCTATCTCTCTCTCTGATGATGATGATGAAGGCCGAATCGATTTTTTTTCCCTAAAATCGAAGGTATCTATCGTCGTCTCATGCTTCTTTTCTCTTCTTGGTTGCGTATCTGAAATCCCTAATTCATTCTCACTCTCAGCCCAGTCCTACCCTAGTATCTTTCGCTTCTCTCTCTCTTTCAGCAGCTGCAACACCATGTGCAGTACCCCATACGGCGACGTGGTGCTGCCGCCCTATTTCAACCACAAGAATGACGTCTCTCACCCTTGGTATCCTCTCCAAACTTCTCCAAAATCTCAGCAACACTGTCGCCGGAGGGTATTGAGAAGAAAGTGAGTGTGAAATGAGAGATTGAGGGTTCAAGAAAGATGGGTTAGAGAGAGAGTCTGCCTTCTCTCTAGAAACTGCCACAATTTCTAGGGTTTTCTCATTCAACATTTCGTTGATAATGGCTGATCTCACATCTAATTTACGTAATTTGGCTACGATGGTTGATGGGTTAGTGACTGAAGGTTCTCCTTCGCTCAAGGGGAGTTCGCACATTGCGAAAGATTTACTGTTGGAGAAGGATTTGTTAACCTTGATGGACATCGTGAAGCGAAATGGGGGTAAGAATTAGTCTTCTGCCTCTAAGATCATTTTGGGTATGAGCCCTAGAGCTTCGATTGGGGTTCAGTTTGAGGTCCCTACTCCTAGTTCCTTTGTCGAAGCTATGGGTGGTCTCTATTCCGAGATTCTAGAAATGAACCTTGCTTAGCAACAAAAGCTTTGGTTTGGAAGAGAAGTGGTGTCAAGCCCTGCCGTTCTTTATTCGTAGCCGAGGGCCATTGAAGAACTTCATGAAAGGTTGAGGGACATGAAAACCCATCTGGGTGGAGTGTCGTGTGAAGATATGGTTCCGTTGGAGTTGATTCAGCCGAAATCCACGCCGGTTGCAGATGCTGTTAAAATTTTGCAATCTAGATGGTCAAATATTGTGGGCATATAGAAGATAAATGTATAAAAACTCAAGTGGAGAATTTGGTCAAAGGAAAACTACAAATTGAGAACCAGGAGATGGGAGAAGCTTGGAGGCATCAGGTTGCAAAAGGAAGGTTGGAGTTGGTTCAGAGGTGGTTGATAAGGTTGATGCGATATTTGAGGTGGCAGTTCCGACAAAGGAGGCTGAAATAAGTGTTGTAGAAGCTAAAGGGGATGTTTTTGTAGTGAAGACTCATCAAGTGGAGGTCCACACTCTAGTTGGGGCTGAGGTGATCCTTCAGCTGGATATCCAAAATGCAGAACAAGGGCACTCTGAGCCTATAACTGTTACTCTGGGGGTTGTTCTTGGCCATGGTCTTGGACAGGCTGATGCTGGTCTAAGTCAATCAACAGGGAAGCAAACTCCAAAGCCAGGTAAGAAAAATGATGAACCTTCGACTGCTGGGTCAACTAGTGATTGAAAGAAGAAGAAAAAGTAATGTGTCTTGGTGCATATTCCTATTTTTGTAAATGTGTGTGATTGTATTTAGTTATCATGTTATTAAATATCTGTGCATGGAATGTAAGGGGTCTTAATGACTCCGGCAAGCAAAAAGAAGTTGCTAATTTTTTGAGAAAGGAAAAAATCAATATTGTAGGTTTGCTTGAGACCAAAATGCTTAAATCTCATCATGTTAGTATTCTTAACCATGTTTGCATAATTGGGAGAGTCATACTAACTATGATCATGTTACTCTTGGTAGAATTTGGGTTTGTTGGGATCCTGTATTTTGTACTATTGATATTTTGGATAAGTCTGATCAACATATCATGTGCAAAGTGACTGTTTTGGATGGGAATATGACATTTTTGTGTTGTTTTGTGTATGCTCAAAATTCTTGTGGCTTGAGGAGACCCCTTCTCTAGAGTATTGAAGAGTTAGTTGTTATTCATAAGTCTTCTCCTTGTATTTTCTTAGGGGAATTTAATGCAATTAGAACTCCTTTTGATAAGGTGGAGGGCAATCCTAACCGGTCTGGTAGTAAAAATGAATTTCACCTTTGTGATAATTTGGCTGAGTTGGATGACCTCAGCTGTGGGGGATGCCAATTTACTTGGGCTAATAATCAGGGTAATGGGAATTATATTGCTTCCAAAATTGATCATGAGGGTTTTTTACCTTTGGTTCATAAGGTTTGGTGTAAGTATATTAAGGGTTCTCCTATGTTTAGGGTGTGTTGTAAACTTAGGGCCCTTAAGCCTGAGTTCAAAGCCTTGAACAAGAAGCATTTCAGTGATGTCTCGGTTAGGGCCTTTATTGCTAATGAGGAGATGGATGGTGTTCAGCTTAAGCTTTGCTATAGATCAAACTAGACAACACATATTTGGTTTGTATTAAATGTTGAATTGTTCTCTCCATTTTCTAGTACTTGTGATTTTTTTCCTTTAAAATAAGTTGGTTTCTAGCTTAAATTGATTTTTCATCTAGAAATCTCAATTTTCTTCTTCTGTCGAGATATGTGAATTATTTTTTCTTTCTAAAATTCATTAAAATAAAAAAGTTGGCGCGGAACAAACTTATGAAACGACATGTTAATTAGCTATGTTATGAGGGTTAAACAAGTGTTTCTTTATGCAGCTACTTATTAGTCTTTCTTTCTTGAATTTATTATTATTATTATTATTATTATTATTATTATTATTATTATTATTATTAATTTGTTCAGGACCAGAGTTGGATTGTTGTTGTTACTTTGTTAAAAGTTCAGTTCAGAAATGGCTTCAATATATGGAGTGGGAAAATATTACCTTTTAGGATTGATTTCTAGTTTTTCGTCCACTGGATCCAGAGACGGAACTATTCATAGCTTTAACGTCATGACAAGCCAGTAATCATAGATTACTTATGACCTCTTATAACATAATCATAAAATAAGGGGTTCACGAAAGTGAATATAAAAACATACAACGTCCATTGAGTTGTGCAGACTTACATGAGACGGAGAAAATTTAAACTTTAATGCCATATATTATTATATCATCACCTTACGTCATTTTATATATAGAGTTTCTGGGAATTCATCAAGTTTCTTTCACCTTTTTTTTAATTTCATATCTATCCACTGCCACTTGTTACCAAATGAAAAAGGCTCAAGCAATTTTATATTTAATTGTCTCTAGTTGTTAGGTAATTTTCCAATGAAAAAAGCTCAAACAATTTTATATGTAATAAAACAAATACAAATACATGGCATACACTAGTTTATTATTAGATCCATGGATTTTTTTTGTTTGGTATTTGGTTTGAAATTTGATTATCAAATTAAAACACCTAAATCTGTTATGATTTAAAAATGATTTATTATGATGAAATTTGGGAATGATGGAGTTTATTTTAAGAAATCAGCACTTTATGTGCAAATCATGCTGACAATGTGATTTTATCTATGAAATTATCACTTTATGTATGTTAATTGATATTGGACATAGGGCTTGAATTACCAATTAACAGTGTCTGTCTATCAGTAGTATTTTTTTCTTTACTTTCAGAATGCAAACATATTTTTTGGGCTGGAATGTCTTGATGATTTTTATTCTCAATCTTCAACGGCAATGGGTGAGTAAAGAAAACCCTTCTACGAGAATACATTATTTTTCTTTCCTTGTTCGTTACGCTGAGTGCTTCGTGTCTTATTTTGGTGTGAATATTGCAGGTACGTCACTGGGGAATGAGTTCTCTACATCATCTCTTGCAAATAATGGTGCAGAAGGCTCTCTTGCACATTCAGAGATACCTACTGTTTATGTTTCTGATACCAGGAGTGAAGAAGAGGGACCTCATATTTCTGTTGTTTCTAATAGTGATGGAGGATTTCATATTGATAATAGAAGGTTAGACATAGAAGTGAAGATCTTTTTCCTTTTTTCCTTTTAGTTGTAGCCAAGGCATTATCTCACCTGAAGTGTTTATTGGATTAATATGGTTTGAAATTTGGTAAGTTTTAGGAAGGGGAGGTCGTTCCTTTCTTGGAAATTTTAGACATGTATGAGTTAACCACAAGATTTGGTAAAATTTTAGTTGCCTGTTCTTTTTATTTTGCTTTGATTTTACTGTTTTCATTCTTCAGTCTCTTGTTGATCTTAGGACGTCGCGGTGTAAAATTTCAATCCAAGCCCAAGGTTCAAATTGAGAGAGAGAAACCTGGTGCTGACACTTCTCACCCAGATGCAGTTGAGTCCATTCCATGTCCACAACAAGCTCAGTCAATTCCTTCTGAAACTGAATACATGAACGAGGGTTCAAACCTTGCATTCTTATCTAACAATATTGTTGATTTCCCATCCTTGAGGTTTGATGATTCTAACCAGCAACCAATTTTATGGAGGCTTCTCACCCAGGGACTTCTTTCCTTGGAGAATACCTAGAGGCTGCTCCTAAAATCCCAGAAAAAGTTTGTTATTTACTTTTGATGTTTCATAAATTGTTGGTGAGAGAATCTACTCTAGTCTTGTTATGTAAAATTATTTTTTCACATCAGTTTATTACTTCCCAAAATAGTTTATTACATCAGTTTATTGTTTTCCTGTATGATCCAAAGGTTTAGTCATGGAATTATTGGGATTACATCAGTTTATAACTCCCCTGTCTGCTTCAGTCATGAAAATCTGTTTGTTTGGCCTCTCCCCTTCTAGAAGCATTCCTAGAATAACCATTAATGGCCACTTTCCAAACATCTTTTCATAAAAAGCCAACTAAAATAGCCACTTTGCAAACACCCTTTGTCCATTAATTTTCTGTATGCTTTGTAGCTTAATATTCCGTCAGTCTTTATTTCTGGTATATGAACAACATCTACAAATTTCGGTAGAATGAATCCAACAATGTCATAGCGTGTTAATTCTTTTGTCAAAGAAAGGGGGGGGGGGATGACAAATGGCTGGTAGGAATAAATGGTTCCATTATCTTCTGTTGTGACTTGTACTCCAAGATATGGATTGTTAATCTATTGTCATTTATGATGGGAACATCTACTATTATGTTATATGTATGATCGAAAAGCCTTGTTCTTATGATGTCAGAGCTTCATGTATTCAATTACATGATCATCTGATGTCCACTTGCATTACAGCCTAAACTGATTGATGTGCTCTTCGACATCAAGGCATTAATCTTTCCTTTGGTAGGTACGTATCTTTTGGACCTGAATATGCCTACCCACAGGTCAGTAAATTCAAATCTCAACTGCTATTGGGTAATTTGGTACTCCATTTGGTTCTGGAAAGGAATATGTGCACAATCATGGTGTGCTCTGTCTATTTTTTCAGGGTGTCCACAATCCTCACATGGGTCAGCATTACCTTCAAATATATGGCGTACCAGGCACACTTAACACAAATATTGTCCCATATGGACAAATATGTCATCCTCTCTCTCTGGCAACCATGGGTATCCAACCATTCAGGGCTATTTGACACCAGGTCGTCATGTTCTGCAATATGGGGGACCCCTCATCAGCGGAGTAACTACAGACACTATTGCCACAACTCAAACACAATACCTTACAGGTAACACTTTCTCTTGAAGAATTCTCTCTCTCTCTCTCTCTCTCTCTCTCTCTCTCTCTCTCTACTTTGAGCTGGGAAATGAGTGTAAAAATGATGTATACTAGATTTGGCATATAGCCAAAAAAATTATCAACCTGGAGTTGCTACTGCAATTTTGTTAACAATACATATTTGCGTATGTACATACGCCCAAGTGTATAAATGTCCATCCATGTTACACACAAACATGCAATTCTAGAAGAATTACAGTTTTGATTGTCAATACAATGATAATTAAATAGAGACCAATTCTTTCTTGCATAGGTCCAGGATCATGTGAGATGTTTAGGATCAATAAAGATGTGTGATTATGGCTGAACCGAAGATAGCTTGATGAGGCATCCTTCTGGCTGCTGTATGGTTGTTTTGGGTCTTTTGGCTACTGTATGGCTGATCTAGTAAGTTTCTTTCTTCTTTTTCTTCGTAGAAGCTTCCAACCAACCATACAACTTTTGCTTAATACCTTCCTATATTATGTTTAGCTCCTGCCAGAAGCCATTGTTGAACAAAAAAGGTTTAAAAAAAAAAAGAAAAAGAAAAAAGAAAATGTTATTTCAAATCTGCCTCCTTAGAAGAACATATTGATGAAGAAGATATTCTCTAAGCAATACTATATCCTATAATAAGGTTATTTATGTGATGGTTGGCACTGCTTTAAGGGTGAAGTTTTAGGAATTGTTGCTTTGATTATGCTCCTCAAAGTTGTTACTTTGACCTTGTAAGGATTGGTTAGGATAGAGATGTTAACAGCTAATATTGTCAGTATTAGTAAAGTGATTGTTCTCTTGACTCTCCTCAGTTCCCTATTAAATTGTAGGATAAAGCAACATCGTATGAAAGTCTTTTGGTCATCTTGTATAGAATTAATTTGAACCCTAGTAGTGTAGACAACGGGACAGGACCTCATTGTCCCTTAGGAAGATTTTCTCTTTTTTGCTTCATTAGTTCAGGGAAGCTTCTTTCTAATTAATTTCATTTTTCTGTAATTTGATTGCAATTTGTGTTTATCTTTCACTAAATCAGGTTCTGTGATTTGTAATTAGAAATTTTCTTTTTATGATGTATGTGCATGTATAGACAAGATCATCAAGATTGATATATAACAAATTAAGCACCAACGCTAGTGCATTGATCTTTAGTGCTGACATATTCTTGTTATTATGGGACTTGATTTTCTCATCAATTCTGTGGGAGCCAAATATTCTGGGGGCAATAATGTCGAATAAAGGTATGAGGACAGTTAAGGACGAAATTTGTATTCGGCATTGATCCTAGACGATCACAGAGCCGAATAGGCTAATTGGCATTCTAACTAGCCAAACAAAAGCCGAATAAAGAAATGTGCAATGGATCAAGGGTGGGCCCGACCCTAAGGCCCAAGGAAAACAATATAAATAGAGAAGCATCAGCCAAAGAAAGGTATGTGAGAAATTTTTTTAACTTGAGATATAAGCAATCAAGAGAGTATACACTGACTTATCCATCGGAGTGCTAATTTCGGCACCCCTGACCGGAGTGTTCATTCCTTTTCAGGTGACTAGCCGAGGATCACGAGTGTCCTACAGGATCCAAAGAGTATTTCCGAACTACTTCTCCATAATTGGCGCCGTCTGTGGGAATACTCTAGCACATCCATGGTGAGCATGACAGAAGATCCTCCGGTAGTCGCTGACGACCTTACGTCAGGAGTTGATACCACTCTAAGCAACATGCTTGGGCCAGAGAACATTGCTGCATGAAGGACTTTGAACTTCGACTCAGTTGCCCATACCTCACCCTCGACATCAGCACAAAAGACAATACAAGCGGTTGTGGATCAGGCGAAGCAAAATGAACAGAGGTTGGAAAACATGATGGCTGAGAACGAGCGCCTTCGACAAGATTTGGCTTTGGAGGTGGCAAAATCCCAATAGGTTGCGTGCCAAGACCCGGGACGACCTCTAAGAAAGGATGGTCAACAACCTCGAATTCGAAGACAAGATAGTGGCAGTGATTTTGACTCATCATCCCCAGAATTCAAAAAGAAGGGGTGAGTCAAAGTCTCCAGTTCTTCCGAAGGGAGCCCGCGTGCACAGAATAAGAGGAGGAGAAATGATTTAGACGAAGAGAACCAACAAGACCCCTTTGTGCGACAGATCGCAAGGGTAGTAGTACTCAAAAAGTTCAAAGCTCCATCGTTCACCCTATACGACGAAAAATTGGATCCCATTGATCACATCCGTCATTATAAGCAAGCCATGACATTGCATGCAGACAACGAGGCCCTCATGTGCCGAATATTTCCGAGCAGTTTGGGACCATTGGCCGTCAGATGGTATTATAAATTGGAACCGGCATCGATTAAGAGCTTCCATCAACTCCAAAAATCCTTCAGGGCAAGGTTCATCACCAATGAGTTCCAGCCGAAGCAAGCCAATTCTCTCTAGGCAATGCAAATCCAACCAGGGAAAACCTTACGTGCGTATTCGGCGCACTATTGGGAATGCTTTAATCTCGTAGATGATGCCTGTAATGACTCCATGGCCATCACCGCCTTTGAAATGGGATTGCATCCTGATAGTACCCTCCGTAGTTCCTTGACCAGAAAGCCTCCCAAAACAGTCTGGTCGTTAATGAAAAAAGTTGAGAAATATTTCAAAGTGGAAGATGACGCCCTGAGGGTCAAAACCGGGCACAAGGCCAACAAGACGGCCCCATCTGAAATCGTTCAGCCAATAAATTTTGTATCGTCACGGAGCCCTAAACCACAAAATCGGGCTAAACGAGACAAAAGACAAGATTCGCGTCGATCAAATGACCAATGTTTCCACCGAGCTAATGAATAACTTCAAGTGGATAGCAGGCGCACAAGGCCAACAGACAAGATATATGCGGAGTTATCGGAACCGATCAGCATGGTTATGTCTAAAGTTCAACACCTTCCATTCTTCAAATGGCCACCCAAAATGGTGGGACCTCCCGACACGAGGAGACGAGATAGGCGGTGCGAATACCACAAGGACCACGGTCATGAAACCGACAGTTGTTATGCGTTGAAGGATCACCTTGAGGAGTTGGTATAAGACAGTCGGCTTAAGCAACACGTCCAAAAGAATAACTCAACCAAAACAGTGGCTTTTTGGCAGGATTCACCTTCACTCGGCGTAATCCATATGATATGCAGCTTGCCGACTACATCCGCGGTACATACAATTCAGTCGCATCCCAACCTCCAAACGCAAATCACACTAGCCAAACGGCCCCATGAAATTGCAAGTATCTCTTTCGATGATTCTGATTTTGTCGGCGTAACGCTCCCCCACATTGATCCCTTGGTCATCGAACTACGCGTAAATCGATTCACTGTTGAACGTGTTCTCATTGACCAAGGAAGTACTAAGAAAGTTATGTACTACAAGACCTTCATCAAATTCGGCTTCACTAAGTCGAACCTGTCTCCAGCTCATTATCCGTTGTTCAGCTTCAATGCTAATTCAGAATATCCGTTGGGCAAA